ACCAAAAACACTGAAATGTGAAATATAGCGCCAAGTTCGCACATTGCTGAGCTCAGTCGCAAAATCGTTTTCAGTGTCTGATGACGAATTTCCCCCACGAATCATTCATTATCACTCAATTCTGCAAGTGGTTCTGATTTACTATCGCTGTTCTCTAGCTGATCTAAACCGCTTTTGACCTAAAGGGACACTTTTTGGACGCCATGGACATTTCTCAGTTTCCAGGCAGAAAGAACAGACAAAATGCAGGCAGGGCACAGGACAAAGCACTAGGGACAATATGTATGTGAAATTGGTTGAGACAGCAATGTTTTACTATGTAAAAAAAAAAAAAAAAAATGACATTTTTTAAAATTTTTAAATTTCCCGCCGCCGGCGGCGCCCGTACGTCCCGACGTCACAGGGACAGGACACAGAAGCCGGATGCCGGCCTCGGCCGGAGGAGATGGCCGGGGACGCTGCAGGGGACACATCGTGGGAGCGCAGGGTAAGGTAAGTGAAAGAACACATGCCGGAGCAGTGCCGCATGGTATTCCCGAGTGTAGCTCGGGGTTACCGCTTTTGTTACTGAAATGTTACCCCGAGCTACACTCGGGAATACCGCCAGGGAGGTTAAGAGTTACACAGAAGGTCCGGTGACAGAATGATTTCTCTTGCTACAAGGTTTGCGGCAATGCCTCACATGTGTGGTGCAAACACTGTTTACATATGAATGCACTACCTGCGTATGACTTCCCCTTTGTGCTTGAGCACAGGGGTGCTTAATTTTACTTTATTTTATTTTTACACTGTCTGTTCAATTTTTTTTTTTTTTTTTCCAAGTCGCCTTTATGACTATCACAAGGGATGCCCAACAGCCCTTGTGATAGCTGGAGAATGACAGGTTCTCTTTATGGAGAGATCTGGGGTCCAAATGCCTTTGCAAGCTGAGATATTACTTTGTAGCGCTAGTAGTGACAATCATTGCGCCTGTGCAGAAAGCAGAGCTGCGAGCAAGCTCCACCCACTACAGTCCGCTTGCAAAAAAACTAGAGGAGGGGGTGGAGACAAGACCAGTCGCCCTGCACAAGGCGAGAGAACAGCAATGACAGGTCTTTATTACAGTAAGCTCCTACACAGGGGGTCACACTGGTTTACTGCTCAGATCTGGCAGAAATACATACAGCACACTGAGAGTCAAGGAAGAATGCACATGACTCTTGTATTTAGACACAATTTGCCTATCCTGGAATTAATATTTAATTATCCTAACACTGTGAAGGTTTCATTGACATCTATGAATACAAATTCTAGTGCTTCTGCCTTCTAAATTTAAAGAGCTAGGGGGGAAAAAAAGGAGATGATATCCTTCCTCATGGAGAGTGCACAGTAGAGACAATCGGGGAGATTGAATGTTCAGGGTAGAAGAGGGGGCCAGTAGAAGATGGCGGGTGAATGACTGGAGTAAGGGTGGTATCTGCATTGGATTGAACAGTCATTACCCCCAGAGTGGGGTCATTGTTGTGTTCTCTTTTGCTGTATATGGGTGTAATAGATATCTATGCATGACAGCCAACTCTGCAAGACTAAGAAAGGTATTTTCTTCAGGGGGACACGCAGGGGCCCTTTCACATAGGCGGCAGTTTTTTTTTTAATCTGTTCGTCGTTGTTTGAAAAATAGACAGTAGTTCATTCCTATGGGCTTGCAGATGTAAACATGTTTTCTACATGGAGGCTGTATCCTTTTTCTGCTCCGATGAATCTGAAGGTGTAAATGGATGGCAGCCATTTACATCTGTTTGTAGGCAAGAAACAATTTTTGTTTATACTTTTGTCACCTATGATTGGTTTCTTCTACAACTAAAGGCCCCTTTCACACTTGCAGTTCCAGTGCGTTCCGGATGCAGAAAAAAAAAAAAAAGTAGAACAGGCTGTGTTTTTCCAGCACAGAACTGTACTGGAACGCGGTAAAATGCATCAAAAACGCACACGTCCCTATTTAAATTGAAGAAAAAGAAAGGGGAATATTAACTGGAACACATCAAAAATACACCGGAACGTGCCAAAAACACACATGCAGAAACACATCTGGACTGCGTTTCTATAGTGTGAACCGACCCTCAATCAATGGGGTCCATCATATTCTATATAACCGCCAGGTTTTTGTAAAACATAACTGGAGAAGTCAGGTGATTTATGAGTAAATACCTTAAGCCCTGGTTCACAGCGGTGTGACATGTCATGAGATTTGACAGCTCCAAATTGCATGACAAATTGCATAATATTTGTGCCTATGGAACCATTTAAATTAGTGTGACTGCGACTTTGCGGTGCCGCAGCGACTTTGAAAAAAAAAGGTTCTTGCACTATTTTTTGCGATTTCATTTGCAACTTGCATAGACATCTGTGCATGAAGTCGCAGATGAAATTCCACTGACCAGTAACTTTGAAATTGCGGTACTTCAAGTGAGGTAGCCCTATTTCAGTCACATTTAGTGTGAACCAGCGCTAAATGGGTTTTTTTTTTTAGGGCTTTTACATAAACAGGTGCCAGTCATTAAATATAAAACTCAGGTCAGGAATCTTTTATCTTTCAGGAAGTCCCACCATACAGGTGAAACTCGAAAAATTATAATATCATGCAAAAGTTCATTTATTTCAGTAATGCAACTTAAAAGGTGAAACTAATATATGAGATAGACTCATTACATGCAAAGCAAGATAGTTCAAGCTGTGATTTGTCATAATTGTGATGATTATGGCTTACAGCTCATGAAAACCCCAAATCCACAATCTCAGAATATTAGAATATTGTGAAAAGGCGCAATATTCTCGGCTCAAAGTGTCCCACTCTAATCAGCTAATTAAGCCACAATACCTGCAAAAGGTTCCTGATCCTTTAAATGGTCTCTCAGTCTGGTTCAGTAGGAATCACAATCATGGGAAAGACTGCTGACCTGACAGTTGTGCAGAAAATCATCATTGACACCCTCCATAAGGAGGGAAAGCCTCAAAAGGTAATTGCAAAAGAAGTTGGATGTTCCCAAAGTGCTGTATCAAAGCACATTAATAGAAAGTTATGTGGAAGGGAAAAGTGTGGAAGAAAAAGGTGCACAAGCAGCAAAAATGACCGCAGCCTGGAGAGGATTGTCAGGAAAAGGACATTCAAAAGTGTTGGGGACTTTCACAAGGAGTGGACTGAGGCTGGAGTCAGTGCATCAAGAGCCACCACACCTGGACATGGGCTTCAAATGTAATATTCCTCTTGTCAAGCAGCTCCTGAACAACAAACGTCGTCAGAAGTGTCTTACCTGGGCTAAAGAAAAACAGACCTGGTCTCTCTCAGTGGTCCAAAGTCCTCTTTTCTGATGAGAGCATCTCATTTGGAAACCAAGGACCCAGAGTATGGAGGAAGAATGGAGAGGCACACACTGCAAAATGCTTGAAGTCCAGTGTGAAGTTTCTGGGGAGCCATGTCATCTGCTGGTGTGGTCCGCTGTGCTTCATTAAGTCCAGGATCAACGCAGCCGTCTACCAGGAGATTTTGGAGCACTTCATGCTTCTTTCCGCAGACGAGCTTCCATGCCACGCCGCATTGAGGCAGTAATTGCTGCAAAAGGGGCCCAAACCAAATACTGTGTACATATGCATGCTTATACTTTTCAGAGGTCCTATATATTGTTCTATGTACAATCCTCGTTTTATTGATTGCATTTAATATTATAATTTTCTGAGATTGTGGATTTGGGGTTTTCATGAGCTGTAAGCCATAATCATCACAATTATGACAAATCACGGCTTGAACTATCTTGCTTTGCATGTAATGAGTCCATCTCATATATTGGTTTCACCTTTTAAGTTGCATTACTGAAATAAATTAACCTCCCTGGCGGTATATTATTTCAGATTTTTGGTGCTGAAAGCGGTACTATTTTTTTGCATAGAAATATGTATTTTTTTTATTGTAGGCTGTAATTTAGGAATAACTCACTGAAATCTGTCCAAACAAGAGTCTAGTAAACATTCCGGATATGATAAAACTTGAAACACAAAATCATAAATTATAATTTGATAATCATAAAAAATAATAATACATTTAATTCAATAATATAAAGCAGTAGGGACAAAATGTATGTGAAATGTTTTACTATGTAATAATCATTTTTTAAAAAATGAACTTTTTTTTAAAATTTCAAACTTGCCGCCGGTTCCGGCGCCCGTACGTCCCGACGTCACAGGGACCGGAACACAGAAGCCGGATGCCGACATCGGCCGGAGGAGATGGCCGGGGACGTTGCAGAGGATGCATCGCGGGAGCGAAGGACAAGGTAAGCGCTGCAGGGACTCCCTATGCAACGCTGCATGGTAAGCCCGAGTGTAGCTCGGGGGTTACCGCTTTTGGTACTGAAACTTTACCCAAAGCTACACTCGGGAATACCGCCAGGAAGGTTAACTTTTGCACGATATTCTAATTTTTCGAGTTTCACCTGTATATGTTAAAGGGTGCCTCTACAGAGCATCCCCAGGAGTACCGAGACACATAGCTGGGAATGGAGCAAGACATCCATAGCAGGTTTGTTTCTGAACCACTCCAGAGGATTCATCCCCCTTCCTGACCAGGACATTTTCTGCGTTATGGCACTGCGTTACTTTAACTGACAATTCCGCGGTCATGCAACACTGCACTCAAATTAAATGTATGCCCCTTTTCCCCCCACAAATAGAGCTTTCTATCAGTGGTATTTGATTGCCTGTGCGGTTTTTATTTTTTGCGCTATATAAAATAAAAAAGCGACAATTTTGAGAAAAAAAAAAATTTTTTTTACTTTTTACTATTAAACATGTCCAATAAAAAAAAAAAAAAAAAATTTCGTCATAGATTTAGGCCAAAATGTATTCTGCTACATGTCACTGCTAAAAAAAAAATCCCAACATGTGTAAAGTAATTGTTTTACGTGAAAGTTATAGCGTTTACAAATGACGGTACATAAACTGGGATTTATTTTTACTAGTAATGTAGATCAGCGACTTATTGCGGGACTGCGGTGGGCATTCTGACACTGGGTGGAACTGACTTGGTGTCACTGACATCCCCAGTGACACCAATACAGTGATCAGTGCTAATAAAAAGCACTGACACTGTACTAATGGCACTGAACAGGAAGGGGTTAACATATGGGGCGATCAAAGGGTTAACTGTGTGCTTTACTATGGGGCTGTGTGTTTGTACTTCACTGTAAGCACACTGCTTTGTATGATTGTGCTATGCACAGCCATGCAAAGCAGTGTGCAGGAGCTGACAGGGGAGAGAACTGTTTACAAACAGTTTCCCCCCCCCCCCCCCCACCACATCAGAGATGCTCAGCAATCACCGGGTGCCAGCGTGTAATCACCAGCCGGGACCCGGTGATTGACAGCCAAGGCTGCGAATGGCGGGTAGGGTAGGGTGCGCACGCATGCCCCCTAGCCGGAAATGCAAAATCACATGTGTGTGTGTGTGTATATATATACACATATATACACACACACACACACACACACACACACACGTGATTTTGCGCACCCGTGCCGCCCTGTAGCAGTACTTCTGCTATAGGGCGGACGAAAAAGCGGATAAAGTATAACTAAAGGCAAAACTTTTTTTTTTTTCAGTTTCAGATGAGTCCAAATTTTGGGTTGTCGAAAAAGTAATAGAGGGGAAATCTTCCAATAAGGTGACTAGTTCTGGTGACATGGGGGTCCCCAAGGAATTCCCTTAATTTGTAGGGATTTCCTCTCAATTCCTGTTTTGGCTATGGAACAGGAAGTGAATGGAAATCTCCCCAATGGGGCACAGATGGCAAAAAAAAATTAAAATCTGAAAGAATTTCTAACCCTCTCCTTACTCTATTCAAAATGAAAAAAGGTTCTGCCTATAGTCCTACAGTAAGGAGAATCTGTTATGAAAGCTGCCATTGCTGACCTCTTTTTGATCATGCTAGTAGTAAAAGCAAGGATCAGCTGTGAGGTTTCACTGCTCCCCCCCCCCCCATGTCATGTGTGAATCAGCCCTAAGTGGGACATAGGCAGCAATAAAAACCTGACAGGGATTGTCATCCCTCTTCACTTTATCCAATACTAAGAGAGGAAAAGATTTTGCCTTATACTTTAGTGGACAGGTATGCGCGTTGATGTTTTGTCATACAGAAACAGGTACTGGAAATACAAAGATCAGCCATAGGTTTATGACCACCCACTAAATATTGGGTAGATCCCCTTTTGCCATCAGCCCTGACCCATGGAAGCATGGACTCCACTAGACCTCTGAAGGTATGACGTGGTATCTGGCACCAAGCCAGCAGTAGCAGATCTTTAAGTCCTATAAGTTGTGAAGTGGGGCCTTCATGGATCAGACTTGTTTTTCCAGCACATCTCACAGATGCTCAATGGATTGAATTGTGGAGAATTTGGGGGCCAAGTCAACACCTCAAATTCATTGTGGTATTCCTCAACCCATTCTTGCAGTGTGACAGGGCTCATTAATCTGCTGAAAGAGGCCACTGCCAACAGATAATCCAGTTTCCATGAAGGGGTGTACTTGGTACAGTAATGTGTAGGTCAGAGGTACATGTCAAAGTAACATCCATGTAATGGCAAGTCCAGCGGTTTCCACACTGCCTCTGCCAGCTTGCCTTCTTCCCATCCTGCTGCCATCTCCTCCCTGGTTGAGCAACCCACACTCACCCGGCCATCCACATGATGTAACAGAGAACACGATTCCCCAGACCGGGCCGCCTTCTTCCATTGCTCCGTGGTCCAGTTGTGGTGCTCACATTGCCACTGTAGCATTTAGCTGTGGACACGGGTCAGCATGGGCACTGTGACTGGTCAGCAGCTATGCAGCCCCATACACAACAAACTGTGATGTCCATTGTTTTGCTTTCCCACATCAACTTCAGGGACAACATGTTCACTTGCTGTCTAATATATCCCACCAGCTTTCAGAAGCCATTGTAATGAGATGAGGTTTGATGGGACCCCAATGGAGGAGTAGCTGGCCCCCTCGTCTCGGCCCTTGTCATCAGGTCCCATTGTCCTCCATCCTCCAATGACAGGCAGAGGACCCGGCACCCCCTTCCCTTCCCCTGAACTATAACGGTGACCCCAGCCCGGCACTGGGAGAGGAGTAGAGGACTGCCTGTGGCTGGACTTCTGATGCTCAACAGGTGGTCAAGGCAAACCAGCAGTCGGGCAAAGTCCCGCCCCCTATGCCGCCAGGCCCTATCTAGAGCTTACCACATTGTCGCTGCATCCACCCGGCGCTCCCCAGTCACCAGCAGCAGCTTTCAGTGAGCCCAGGCATCATACGTCCCGGCCATTGCGTCACTTCCGGCCTGCGGATCTGCCAGGTGTAAGCCCTGAGCAGAGTCCGGATACACGGAAGTGACCTCATCCGCCAACATCAGCTGACCTGGAGACTGACAAGCTCTTCTGACAGCTGCCCTTCTTCCGCCCTTTGCTTGTTCCACTTCCGCCTTCGCTGCGATTTCTCTTTTCGGCTCGCACGGCTGGGTACGGTGGATGGGGTGAAGGCGGATCCTGAAGGAGACTGTTAACGCTTCTATCAGTCTGGGGTTACCTGGAGGATTAGGAAGTGGACGGCTAGGAGACCCCCAAGAGGGTGGGAGGGGCACAGGCCGGGCTCAGTGTGTCTGCTTATTCATCCCATGTGGGGCAGGGCATCTTTCCAGCTGAGGAGGAACTACAAGTCCCAGCAGTCACACAGCAGAGAGAGACAGATCACCTTCACTGGGGAGGAAGGGGCCACATGGTGTCACAGCCAATCAGATTGGTGCAGAGTGCCCCCATACACCATGAGACATCGGGGGCAGGGGCTGTACATTGTACCCAGGGGGAGGGATGGACCCCACAATAATAACACCATCCTGTGCAGTGATAGCTCCGGTAAGTCCTCATGCACACTGGACGTTTTTACAGCGGCTGTCTTTTGGCTTTTGACATTTTTCTCTACATCCAGTAAACCCCCCCCAGCATGTTATCCTATGTGTCCATACATACATAGACTAATCAGCTGGAATAAAACCAGGACTAGTGGGTTTCTAGAGGATTTTGTTAGCTGTAAAAACACAGTAAACTGCTGCAAACCCCAAAAAAAAGCTAAATGCAACCGTGGAAAACGCTAAAAAAAGCGGAAAAAACACGTTTTTAATGTGACTTTACACAGCTAACATTACCAGCATTATCAAAATGCCCCGCATGCATGGAGACTACAGGATGAGGACCTCTGGGAGTTAGCGATAGGTGCCCTGTACTCTCCCCCTTTACAGATAGGTGCCCTGTACTCTCCCCTTTACGATAGGTGCCCTGTACTCTCCCCCTTTACAGATAGGTGCCCTGTACTCTCCCCCTTTACAGATAGGTGCCCTGTACTCTCCCCCTTTACAGATAGGTGCCCTGTACTCTCCCCCTTTACAAAATATCTATTATACATAAAAAAAACAAAAACACTTCTGGCCAGGGAGACCTGGTTATACATTTGATGAGCATTGTTCTGTAATTGCAAGTTAGGTTGAGTAGGTCTTCTAAGTAATGAGCTTCTGCAGATTGTTTTCCAATAACGAATCACTGTAAAACGGGGTCGGCGACCAGTAGATCACAGCCACGTGTCTGGTAGAGCTCGGTGTGTGGGCTTACTGACCCGCCATCCCAGAGCATCAAACAGTGCAATGCAGAGGGACTACTTGTAAAGTTGGAGCTGTAGTAGGGAGCAAGAGCCGCATAAGCCGATGTCCTCCGTGAGTGATACCTACTGCACTCCACTTCTCAGTGTGCCAAAAGACAATGTCCTGTGTACATCAGGAGCTGTGCAACTGGTGCTATTCTGACCATGTCTGCTATTTCATCATGGACAGCAAGTTAGAACAAAGAGCAAATATGAAGTTCTGCATGAAACTGGGCTAATCTGCCACAGAGATGTTTGACATGATTTGGCAATGCTGCAATAAGTCGAGGAGTTTGCAGTGGCACGTGCACTTCAAGAGCAGAACATCATCACTGAAAGACAATGAGCGATCAGGATGACCTTCAACAAGCTCAACCCCCGAAAATGTCCTCTTCCCGAAGATGAAAATTCAGCTCAAAGGTTGCCATTTTGACAACATTGTGGAGATCCAGGGATTTGCCCAGTGTGATCCAAGTGTGTGTTGACAGGTGATGAAGACGCAATACGTTGCCTTCTTACCACCTGATTTAAACCCATGATTGCCATCTAATGCATGTGATTGCAACATGGTAGTTTGGCAATTAGAGGTTTAAATCAGGTGTCAGGAGGCGACACTGTGCCTGGTGATCTTTGACTTTTTCCATGTTGCTCAGGTAGATCTCCACCTCTTTAAGGTTGCCTACCTCAGCTCTAAACAGTACTCCCCTAAGAAAAGCCTTCTTAGCATCCCAAACAGCTAATATGGAGGAGGAAGAGTTGTTATGTTGAAGAAAATCTTCCAGTGCTGCTCTATGGAATCTGCTACTGGGAAAAGTTTAAGCTCAAACAGATTTACTCCCCCTTCCAGATACAGACATGGAGATACAAAGCTCTAGCAGTAAAATAAACCACAAGCACCGTACCTTCTATGAAAGATAAGCAGCAGCAAAACCTGTCCCCACTGGCAGATCTATTCTAGTTAAAGAAGATCTCTGGGATAGGCGAACAAATCTTCCATTATAACCCCCCTCCCCCTACACAAAACACTAAACCAGTAATAACATTTTGAAATTCCTTGCCATTGAGAAAAGTCTAATTTAATTTTCATGACCTCATCTCTAATTCAAAAGATAACAGCATCTGCTCTGCCGAGGAGACGTAACAACAGATATTACATCATATCCTCTCCCTCTGCAGGAAAAGGAAACTACAGTTCCCATCAATCACAGGGAATTGAAGTGAATGTGGGCAGGTACACTAAACCTGTACATGCTGAATGTGTCTGAGAGTCTTGGTCTGCCCACCCACTGCAAGTGGGGCTGAATTGCATCTCTGCTTCCTAGAGAAAGAACTACAGAAGGGATGTGCAAAGACCAGTGCCTGGGGGAATGGGAGGCATATAAGCCACTGTTCTTACAAACAGGAAACCAATGAGAATGAATGGTTTGATTTGAAAAGGAATAGGCTATTTCAGAGCAACTACTGAATGAACCAGAGGATGGATGACAAAGTCAGTGAAGGTAGGAAATCAGCAACAAGGACATGTAAAGAGGTGTTTGCCCATAGTCTGGCTTTAACAAAGAATAGGTACCAGAGCATCTGGAATACTAACAAACAGTGGGATGCTGCAGCCCCCAAATATCCTGCAAGCCCAGCTTTTTAGTTGGCATGCAAAAAGAAGTATCTGTACCCAGAGC